AATTTTCGATTATTGCAAGAGAGATTGGGAAATAAAATAGAGTCTATATCAAGGCAAATGAATAATAGAAGACAATAATTTTTGAATCTATAAGATATTTTTTAAAAAAGTTAAAAAAATTACTTCTGTAGTACCATCAGATTTCAAGTATGGCTTTTGTTGCTTTTTGAACTTTCATTGCAATGAGAAAATAAAGAATCAATACTTTCTTAGCATAATCAAGTTAAACAATTGATAGAACAAGACTGTGTTATCGACAGATGCTAAGAAGGCACTGATTTCCCTTCAAAATCTAAAAAGCCACATACTCCATTGTTGAAGCTTGTTTGTGTTGAAACAAAAACAATGCATTTGTCATTTTCAACTGTCAAAGATACTCGGTACACTCAAAAGTTATTATTTTTGTAGACCATTTATTTTATAATCATTTTTTGAAGTAATCGAAGATTACATGAGTGATCAAAAGATTTAGAATTTCATCCCTTTCATTTTTTTGAAATATAAAAGTCTTCAAAAACTACTGTATTTTCAATTTCTCCATCTTTAAATCCAATAAAATTCAAAAGTACTGTGTTTCATATTCAGTTTACTTGGAATTCAACAGTGATTCGGTGCTTTATTATCTATGAAGTCTAATAAAAATTTGAAAAACTTAAATTTGACTAGATTTGGATTGGTACTCCAAGTTGTCGATGGAGCTTCTTTTTAAGGACCAAGTCACAATAGTTCTGTTCAATCTGTGTACTCTAATAAAAAATTAAAATGATTAAATTTGAGTGGACTTGAATTAGTAGTCAATGCTACTTACATACCTTCTTTTTGAGTATCAAGTCATAATATAGTTATGCTCAACCTTTCTTCTTTAAACTTTATTGTACTAAGAAGGTACTGAATCTTTACTTCATCTTATTGCCTTCAAATTTTGATAAGTCACAGAAGCCATTTTTGAATCCTACTTATGCAAAAAAAGCATTGAATTTTTCTTTTCAACATTTTCTATAAAAACTTAATAGATTCAAAAATCAATGTCTTCAATTCTTTATTTACCTTGTTGTAGATTTCATTTTATTTTCAGTCTCTCTTGACAAAATAAAAAAAAGTGCGAGTGTTTAAAAAAAGTAGAATTTTATTTTTCATTTTTCTTGAAATACAGAAGTTTGTGAAAAATGTGTTATATTTTTAATTTCTCTTTTATCTTAAAATTCAACCTAATCAAAAAGTACGACATTTCATTTTCAAGTACTTCAAATCCAAAAGTGATTAGAAAATATTGAACTCCATACTTTGTTATCCATAAAGTTTAATAAAAAATTAAAATTCATTACACTTCCTTAAATTTGACTGAACTTGGAGTACTTTAACGCCAAGTTGCCGACTTACTTTTTCTTTGAGAATCAAGACATACGTGGTTCTCTATAGTCTATATTTAAACTTGATTATACTAAGAATGCACCGATTCTTTTATTTGTTTTGTTGCCTTCAAAATCCAAAAAGCAACCGAAGTCGTTCTTGAAACTCACTTGTGCTAAGAAAGCCAAAATATTTTCTTTTTGAACTTATTAGAAAAGCCCATTAGATTCAAACGTGATTGCCTTCAGTTCATCATTTCCTTATGCTAGACTCCTTTTTATTTTTCATTCTCTCTTGAAGTAACAAAAAAATACAGGAATGATCAGAAGATGTAAAATTTCCTCTTTCATGTTCCTTAAAATATGTGTCTTTGAAATTTGTTATATTTTTAATTTATCTTGAAATTCAGTAGTGGTTTGCAGGCATTGGTTTCCAGTTTGTTATCTGTGAATTCTAATAAAGCGCGAAAGGCATTGCATTTTCCTAAATTCGAAAAAACTTCCTGCTTATCTTCTTTGGAAGAACTTTGAGCAGTTATGTTAAGTTTACCTTGAAACCTTGTAGTGATAGAAAGCACCACATTAAATCTAATCATGATATAAACTACTGCCCAAGCTTCATTTTCCTTGAAATAACTAATTTATTTTGAAGTAATCATAAGTTCTCTTCCTTTTCTTGAAAATCAAAGAGTGATTATGCTTGGTATAGATACTGCCGAGAACGATCCCACCGAAAGAAATTGGCAGTTGAGTTAAGCTATCGACTTAATGAAGTTTGAAGGAGGGAAAACTCAGCTGCAGAGTGAAACCAAGCTCCCAAATGCTAGATATGGACTTTAATCGAACATAGGATGAGTTGAGGAAGCTTGCTGAGCAAACGAAGGCTCCTCTCAAAAGGTGAAGAGAGCTTCAACTGGACAAGAAGTTGCTCTACAAGAGAACCAACACCGGCTGGACCGGAAAAAATTGAGGAAGTGGAGATGATGTTGCAAACAATGAGCTATGGTTTTTCCCCTCCATCTGCAGAAGCTTCACTATGCACGAGTCATCTGACAATATCCTCCACTGCTAGCTTGTCTTCAACCTTGCTTAAAAAGGCTTCACCTACGGAGACTTCTAACTTTTTATCCTTTGAAGTAATGTCAAACCTAATCTCTCCTTAGAATCAAAATCTCTCAATAAACCATTCTAAAGCGATTGATTCTACACTTCTGGAACCAATAACAATTGAATAATTTGTGAACTAAATAGGGAGAAAGTAAGGGGCACAAGGATATTATAAGACACACCCCAACTATTTGTGAAAATTCTTCTAACAAAAGTTTGGGCTGAGAATCCTATTAAAATGACAATTTTTGAAGGGAGATTATTCTAGGGATATACTGGGTCTCCTTTACATGAATGTATCCATGCAGATTGATCTTTGGATGCATGTGAAAAACCACCTGCTTAAACAAATACTTTTCAGATAAATTCAAGTGAATTGTCAATAATTTGCAAATGGGAGGAGTGGAGACTGTTAAACAGACAAGTGAAGAGTTAGCTATATTGTCGAGCAATGAATTTTCTTGTTAGTGGTGAAAGCGTGAATAGAGGATATGATTTTTCTGTGGCTACTTGAGTTGGCAAATTCATGCATGGAAATGAACATACATTAGTTAAATTTCACCCCTATAAATATCAAGTTCTCACTAAAAGAGTTGATGATGGTGGGAACACTGCTAAGATTGACCAAGTATATCCACTTGTGTTTCACGGAATCCATCAAATGGACTTATTACTAGCCAGCAACTGATTGTTGTCTTCTAGAAGTATTACATCAGCTGTGAGCTTGAGTTGGGAGTTACTGGATATGGAAGATTCAGTGGTGGTTCATTCTCAATATCAGTTGCTCCCTTTAATCGATTGAGTGCACCACTTAATGAGTCCATATCTATGTGGAAAGGAGATAGGCTTACCGCTTGTTGAGGTAAAAGAGCAACATCTACGTAACTCTATTATGAGAACCCAGAAATGAAGTGTCTTCTAGTTCTACCTGCGACCATGGGGAAATTATCCGTATCTTCTTTAGAAAGTTTAACATCTTACGTATAGCACCAACAAAGTTCGTCAACTCCAGAAGGTTCTTGCAGCTAGTGTATTTGCTTATCATGTTGTTTCCCCATTTTAAAAATCATGACAACAAAACATCATTTTTCTCAACAGCGCATCATTGTATAAAGCTGCAGTAGATGTCTTCATAGCATCCTCAAAGTCGGCCATAAACCATTTCAGAACATTCTCCAAATCTCCCACTATCTAAAGAATAAAAGTTACCCACAACAAAGAATTGCATCACACGTCTGATCAGAAATTTTTTTTAGCTTTTCCTATAGGTCAACTGTTTAGTGCCGGAGTATGAGACTACTTCAACTTGCTATCTCCTTGATGCAATATGATGAAGCAGACTTTAGTCTAGCACAAAGAATCCAGTAAGAGAAAAGGGTAAGATTTCTAACCTCCCACATCCGGAGGGCATCATTAAAAGACAATTCCCAACGGAAGAGTACCAAGAGCATCCGGAATGCAAAATGGAGGCTTTCAGCACCTATTTGCCACAGGTAAGAAAACATTTCTCTATCTGTCAGTTGCAATATGTGCCACAAAGTTTGTAGCTGCTTCATCACTCCAGTTGGTTCTTCCATTTGAAAATTTGCACGCTGTCAAAATTTGGATAACCATGTAGTAATAAAGTACACAGAGTTCAGGCCTCAGCATTCTTCACAATTTACTAAGAGTAGAAAATATTGTTCTCCTAATGAGCATTTCCAAGAACCAAAATGCATCAGCACCATCCTCAAAAGGAACCACAAAAGGAGAAAGCAAATCACTCATACCTATAACCAAAAGAGTTACTAGGTAAGGAGTAACTGAAGAGTATCTCCGGGACCACTTTGCAAAAAATATAGTGGCAACATAACTAAAAGAAGATCTTCCAAACAAATTATAAACAGGATCATACCTTGACAAAAACCAGTTCCAGGGTCAACCCATGCATAAATGGCAAGGATATCAGACATCCTAGCCAAATTTCTTGTATCCTCATAGAATTCAAGGTGACGATCTGTTCTTACCACATCAACAACTGAAAAAAAAAATTGTCAGCAAATAAAGAAAACCTAACTAGCAATGATTTTGTAAGACTGAATATTTTGTAAAATAAGCTAAATAACAAACAGACTAGTAACTTACCTATTCGGTGCGAAGTCCAAATCCATTCCAAAACTCGGTCCTCACTGACAGCAACACCTTGGGATGAAGCTGTCTTTATTAATGGCGTTTCTGGAGCATCCAATAGTCTTAAAACATTAACTATTTTTGTTTATAACTGGACTGCAATAACAACGAAAGGAAACTGAATTAAAGAACCAAAACTGGAATTTTTACCTCTTCCACATTAATGGATCTTTTTTTTACGCGGACTCAGATTTAGTACTAAACGCATGTTTTACTGCAAATTTAGATGAAGATGGAAAAAAAAGGAGGAAAGAAAGAAAGAAAGAAAAAAAGAAAAGAAAGAAGGAAGAAAGTATCCTATGAAAGCTCAGATTCTACCTCTAGAATGCACTAATAGAAGCCGGTGTTGCATAACTTATGAGGAACACATAGGTTACGTGGCATTCAGATAGTAAATGCATTATTCAACAACTATGAGAAAAGAAAAATGAGTCCTTACTTCCTCTTGGAACCAATTATACCAACATCATTCACTTTTCCTAACCTGCCTAAAAGAGAAAATCAATACGCTATAATTGATCATAAAACTTGATGGTGTACCTACTTCCCATTGATGAATTTTTCATTACAAGCTTGGATTCAGAATTACAAATCCAGGTACCATTGCAAACTTAAATGAAGGTAGAAAGAAAGAAAGAAAGGAAGAAGAAAAAAAGAACGAGAAAAGGAAAGAAAGAACAAAAAAGAAAGAAAGCTTTCTACCAATGCTTGAAATCGACCTTTAATATACATCTCACTTTTAGTGAATCCTGCATAATACATAGAAAATTTAGCATATGAGTAACAACTGCATCATTTAATAAATAAATATAGAGAGAAAAATCCTCTTCTCCATGAGAACATACTCCTCTCCTCTTAGATTGCCTACTAGCACACATCAATATATTATAAGTGATCATAAAACTTGATGACATACATCTTTCCCGTAGATAATCTTTTCAATGCACTTCTCTCAGCAAATTTAAATGAAAGAAAAAGGGAAAGGATGAAAGGAATAAAGAAAGAAAGAACGTATTCTACCAAAGTTCGAACTCTACCTCTGAGTGAATCACTTGCTATAAGTGTGTTGCATGATGTATGAGTAACACATAAATCAGCATAAGAATAGCAATTGCATAGTTCAGTAAAATGAAAAATTTTCTTTGGGACAATGATTATGCCAAAATCCTTCATTTCTCTTAAATTATATAATTGACTACATCAATTTGATATGAATGATTATAAATCTTTATGAGATACCAAATGAACATTTCACTACAAATTTAAATGAAACAAAGAGAGAAGAAAAAATAAAAAAAACTCTTTCAAAGCGCAAATTCTATCTTTAATGCATTACTAACTGTAAGTGAATGCCGCGTAACCTAAGATGAATAACCACATACAAAATGAACAACAAATGCATTGTTCAATACCTATAAAATTAAAATGGATATTTTACCTCTTCTTAACACTAACTATGCCGAAATTATCTCCTTCCTTTTGCCTACTTAAAAGACCACTTCAATACGCTATGTGATCATAAAACTTGACAAGACACCTCTTTCTCACTTATGAACTTTTTCAAGTAAGTTTGAATTTATAAATGTACATTTTACTACAATATTTAAATGAAAAAGAAAAGAAAGAAAGCAAAAAAATAAATGAAAGAAGGAAGAAAGAAAATTTCTTATCAAAGATCGGATTCTATCCCTAGAATGCATCAATAGCTATTAATAAGTGTTGCATAACCTAGAAATGTATAGGTTACATGGCATATAGTAGCATATGCGACCTATGAAGAGGAAAATCAAGCATTACTTCTTGGCAACAATTATACCAACATCATCCTCTTCTCTAAATCTGCCTAAAAGAGCAAATAAATACATTATAATTGATTATAAAACTTGATAATATACCTCTATCTTATTGGTGAATCTTCATTGCCATTTTGGACTCAGAACTACCAAATGCATGTATCACTGTAAATTTAAATAATAAAAGAAAGAATGAAAGGAAGTGAAAAAGAAAGAAAGTTTTCCACTGAAACTCTGAAGCTATTGCGAAAATATATCGCTCACTATTATTGAATCCCGTATGACCTATGAGTAATAGATAGATTATATACCAACAATAGCAGTTATATCATTTAAGAAATAAGAAAAGAAAAATTCTCTTTTCAACAATAACCATGGCAAAATTCTCCTTTTCTCGTAGATTGCCTAACATATAACATCAATATGTTATAAGTGACCATAGAACTTGATAATTTGCCTCTTTTTTGTTGATAAATATTCCCATACAAGCTTGGACTCAAAAATTACAGAGGCACATATTGCAGCAAATTTAAATGAAATACAAAAAAAAAAAAAGGAAGAAAGAAGGAAAGGAAGAAGGAAAAAAGAAAATATTATAGTAAAGTTTGAAATCTACCTCTGCAATACACCACTGGCTCTAAGTATATCGCATACCTATGAGTAATACATAAGAGTATACAACATACAAATGATAATTGCATTATTCAACAAATATGGAAATAAAAAATTCTCTTTTGAGCAACTATCATGCTAATATCAATCATTCTCTTAAATTGCATAACTAATCACATCAATTTGATATAAGTAATCATAAACTTGATAAGGTACCAGTTTTTCATTGTCGAACATCTTAATGCAAGTTTGGATTAAGAGCAACCAAATAGACTTGTCACTGCAAATCTAATTGAAAAAAGAAAGAAAGAAAGAAGAAGAAAGAAAAAAAAAGGAAAAAAAGACGTTTCTTTCAAAAACTCAAATTCTACCTTTCTCACATCACTTGTTATTAGTAAATATTGCATAACCTATGACAAATACACAATTCACGTAGCATAGTGATAGCAAATGCTTCATTCAATAACTATGAAAAGCAAAAAAATGCTTTACTTCTTCTTGGCAATAACTATGCCAACATCATCTGCTTCTCTTAGCCTATCTAAAAAAATACTTCAATATACATATATTGATAGCATAATGAAACTTGACAAGGTACATTTTTCTCATTGTTGAATTTTCTATGTCAGCTCAAATTTAAAACTATTAAACACACATTTTACTTAAGTTTATGTAAAAAAAAAGAAAAAAATGAGGAAAGAAGGAAAGAAAAAAAGAAAAGAAAGAAGGTGGAAAAAAAGTTTTTTATGCAAGTTTGGATTTAAAGCTTCTTAACACATGTATGACTGCAAATATAAATTAACAAACAAACACAAATAGAAAGAAAAAAAACACGAAAAAAGGAAAGAAAAAAAGTTTTCTACCACATCTTGGATTCTATCTCTAGACTATGTTAGCCACTTTCAATGAGTGCTACAATTGTTAGAATAAAAATATTTTTCAAATCAATAGGTATGTAAAACTAAACATACAATATTATATTCAATTAATGAGAACTGTAAGCAAAAGCTTACCTACATTCATCGCAGAAGAATTATTCGCGTTGCCAGTAGAATCTTTCGAATAAATACAATGCCTCACAAAACTAGTTTTTCTGGTGACGGAATTTCAAAAAAATAAAATAGCGATCTTGTGATTCGGGGATTATAACTGTAGCGACCCCCAAAATCCAAAAGAAAATATATAATCATTTAAATGCGAAAGCAAAATAAAATGTTTAGATTTACATCATTTACACAATATCTTAAAAGTACTAAACAACATTATGGAATGAATTCTTTGAAAGAAACACGAGAAATAAGAAAAATAATGGAAAATAGAAAGTATCTGACATCTACTCGCAATTTTCTTGCGGATCGGTCTCTGGAACCAATTCCTCTTGATCTAAAATGGTTAAATAAAGGATGAGTTACACTAGCCCAATAAAGATATCACACTATATCACTGGCATATAATAAAGGTTGGTATAAAATCAAAACAACTAATGGAGTACTAAATTTAGCAAATTCGTTTATCAATCATAAAATCATTTACCGTTCACTTATCGTAGTGGAATTTATGAAAATAACCTATAAAAACAATAATCGCATACAGATCATAACTTTATGAACACCCACCAACACAAAACATATCATAAATTCATATCTATTAACAATAAACTAAATCATAACCATTTCTCATTTCACCAGCGTACTAGTATCCATGGGGGTTCATAGAGATGTCCCCTCTACACGTGAACCCTTTCTCTTAACAATCTCAATTACAGAGCTGTCCCCATACTTCATCTGGTATGAGCGCAAGACATCAAACCTCAATACCCCGTCCGGTATGAAGGTGAAGCGGGCCGTCCCCATACCATGTCCGGTATGAGCGCGAAATTACCAAGTTTGCATACTCCGTTCGGTATGAGACAACATTTACAGTGAGGTTCCCTATGTACCCGGTCTGTCCACTATCTCCCATGATATCTAGTAAGGCTGCCATTCTATCTGTTTATTTGATCACATCCCTTTCTTGTTTTTCTTTAGTCTCCATTACCAAACCAAACATAATCACATAAACAAATAAACATGCATCTGGTAATGCAATCTCAAATCCCAACTCAAACAGAAGTCAGACAAGACAGTAATACATACATTTAAATCATAAAATAGATAAATCAGATACTATTATACTTTCAGACTGTAAAATAAATCAACAGAGAACAATATCCGGTCTGGGCTCCATTAGCAATCCGTAATTAATTATGCACATCTATTTAATTTGTACAAAATACCGTATTATTATTTATTTAAATTTTAATTCTATGATAGGGAATAGGATGAGAGATCCTTACTCAATTTGACATCGAAAAGTTAAACGGTTTACTATACCTACGGGCAGTCCTTGAGTTCCCTAAATTTTTTTCTAGGAACTGAAACGCGCTTATAGTAATTACAAATGTTCCAAATAAACTCAAAATTAGTCCCAGAGCCCGCTCGACTAATTTTGAAAATCAAGCGACAGCGGTCCGACTTAGGTCGGTCTTTTTCAACAGTTTTTGGCCAAATTTGGTCGATTTTGCATCGATTCCTACGAGCACACACGCTAAAGGGTCTCGGTGGGTTAAAAAATACAAAAAACTGAAACTCACCAGCGGGGGTGCTTTCAGGTGCGGCCGCTCCTCCGGCTCACGTTGCAGTTGGGTGTTTCGCTTCGGTCAACCTGTAGAGAAAAAAACAGTGACTACAATAGTGAAAAAATTACGCGAAATGGAA